TATCACATCTGATGGTAATACAGTACTGGCTAGTACCTAAACGCTAACAATGGCAAAATCATCTTCATATCAGCACAGGACAGTTACAATGTATTTACCATATCACATCTGATGGTAATACTGTACTGGCTAGTACCTAAACGCTAACAATGGCAAAACCATCTTCATAGCAGCGCAGTTTTGTCTTACTGAATATATTTAGATGTATGCGGTTGATAAAATCCTCTGTTTAAAAATAAAATATGTAAAATGTTAATATTGGTCTCATATATTCAACACTTCAATAACAAATAATCATTTACCTGAATTTTCAAGATACCAATGCCGATCCACGGAATCCGTTTGTAATTGCCTGTTAAGGAATGGTAGAATTGATAAATTCGTTAGATTATTCCAACTCCAACGTAAAATAGTACCTCTGTACCATTATCACACACCTGGGGAACCACACACACTGTCGTGCCAAATCAATCGCCGACACTGTGTGCAATGAGGTAGATTCTAATAATCAGGGTGTACTGGGTAAAGAGCAGTGAAGCGTTTACAATACAGCCTAGCTACCTGGTGAATAATTTAGACGTATAGTGCGGGAGCGTATATATATTCTGGTCGTGTGTTTAATTATGGATTTACCAGGTTACATTCATATGACGAAGTGATAATTTCAATATTTGAGGGGTCAATTTGACGATAAATTAAACTGCAGAACCATATAGCTGACTAATATAAGTTATGTATGGACCTGTTTACATGTCGGTATGAATTTAAAGGCTATTTGTTGTAAGGGTATGAATGTAAAATGAAATCAGCTATGAATGGATACAGGTCGTGTATACAAATCAATAACTCGACTCACTAATATCATTCATGCCTATCTGCATCGGTTAAAAAGTAAAGAGATGTCTTAGACTTCGATATTGATTAGTTCTGAACTCAATTGTTCAAATTTTCGTTAACTTTATGAGACAATGACGTTGCTTTTAAATCGATTAGAACTTCATTATTATTACAACTGAAATATGTATACATATGCCGTGGAATTTAAAATATACAGATTCAGATAATTAATATGAAAAGACTCAAATGTCTACAAATTATTTTTCGAAGAGCAACAACTAGCTTCACGTAGCATTATACGTATGAAAACTGTCTACATTATATAAAAAAGACAGACTTCCATGTGTATGAAATGGATAGCTTTCATTTCGCCAATTAGTAATAAGCAGCATGCCCGCTCTCATGTGTTGACGACTTTTTCTATCTGGTGCTCAATGACATAGATAGAGAGAGTGTGTGTGAATGGCTGTGTGTAGGTGTGTGTGAATGGCTGTGTGGGTGTGTGTGTGTGTGTGTGTGTCATTGAGTTCGGTATATAGAACAATGCACCCATTGTTACCCCATTGTTGTCTCGGCGTGTCAATGTGTTGCATTCTTTTGCCGCTCAGTATTCATGATTTTTATCTCAAATTCCTTTATAAGCATACGTCGAATAAACATCATTATCAGATCATGCGTTATTCAATTTGTTAAAGTTGACAGATTAAGACAAAAACAAGAACAACTTATTCGCACTAAGTAAACATGACTGTGTACTACAGAGTAATATACATTAAAACAAATGCTCATATTTTGCTTGTTTCATAAAGACAGATGCCTAGGAAAACATCACCAAAAGGAAAAGAAAACTGAGAAATTAAAGGAAATATGCAGGTGATGCAATGCTGGAAGTAGAAATCGAAATTTGCATTAAGTGAATAGCATGGAGTCAAGAGAACAACGGGGATGGAAAAGAAAACAAAATAGTAATATAGACATTAATCCGAACAACACACGCACACACACACGCCCCCCCCCCCCCCCCCCCCCCCCCCCC